CTTAAGTAAAACTTTGTGATTGTTATCAAGTCTCGTCTCAAGCTCCTTAATAATCTTGTCCTTTTCTATTAAAGAATGATTTTTGCATTTGCAAGAACATGAGTTTTTAGAAGGACTTACATTGCTATTTGAGCTTTCACCTTCATCATCTCTGGGGATCGCAGCATCACCCTTTCTTTCATCCTTCTCCACGATTGCCATCAAAGCTAAGTTTTCTTCTTCCTCATCTGAAGAATCATCCTCCATCCAATGGTCCTTCTCAGCGAGCATTGCAGCATTTTCATCTTCTTGCTTTGCCATGAACATCTTCTGCTTGTTCATGAGCATCTTCTGCTTGTAATAATTGAAGTCCCTTCTTCTTGGTAGGCGACAATCTTTGATCAGATGTCCAGCCTTTCCGCAATTAAAGCACTTGGGAGCTTCTTCTGCTGCAACAGCTCTTTCTGAGGAATTTTGCTCAAGCTGTTTCGGCTTGTAGTTGGATGAGGAAGTTCTCAGCTTGTTGGATGAAGTACTCTTCTTCACAAACTTCTTATTGAATTGCTTGGTTAAGAGCGCCATTTTCTTCTGCAGCTCTACCAGCTCCGACTCCACGTCTACTTCTTCATCGCTTTCTTCATCTTCAGACACGACTGCAGCTTTCTTCTTCCTTTGCATCTTAGCTGTACTTCTCGTTTGAGTTTCCAGCACAAGAGCAAGTGGATCATTAATTCTGTTTTCTTCAGGCTCTGCAGTGTCATTCACAAATTGCTGTAGATGGTCATGAATTGTGTAGAGATCAACTTCATCAAGATCCAGATTCTGTCTCACATTCTTCACTGTCCTCTTCCATTCAGGGTTCAGACTTGATAGAAACCGTATGTTCAGCTCCATGTTAGCTTTGTTCACATTGATCTTTCTCAGATCATTCACCAGCTTAACAAATCTGTTGTAAATCTCATGCAGAGGTTCACCGGGTCTAGCCTTGAAGGAATCATAGGCAGTGAGAGTGCTTGCCTTCTTGGTTTTCAAACCTAGGTTGGTTCCTTCCATCAGCTTTCTGATTTCATCCCACATCTCCTTAGCAGAATTCATACTGTCAATCAGTATATAAATATCATTCGGAATTGCTTGGAGTAGGTACGTTTTTGCCATTAAATCAGCTTTGACTCTCAATCTGTCCTCTTCAGTATACAGCTCTACTGGTTTTGGAACTTTCACTTGGTCGACAGGGGGCTCATTTTCATCGTCTCCTCCTAGAACCATCCATAATTGAGCCGGACCCTCTGTCAGTGATTCCAGCATAGCTGAGGAATTGTCTTTGCTCTCGAGGAAGTTGAGAAATCTGTTCTTCCACATAACGTACTCATCTCTCCTGAGGATAGGGGGTCTGCTATCGTTACCCATTGAAAGAGCGTCCATATCTGCTGTTCTTGAGAAAGTGACCGTTCGAGTGATTGATCTGTTTTAAAAAATAATTATTTCTAAGTATGGAATATCGAGAAGTTTAACCTCGAGAAAGATATTCGAGAACAGGGAATTCGAGAAAGTTTATCGAGAAGTAAGTTTTCGATATTAGGACTTCGAAAACTTGGTTTTCGATATTCTAGGTTCGAAAACTGAGATATCGAGAAGTCAGATATCGAGAAGTTCAATTTCGAGAACTAAACTTTTCGATATACTGATTATCGAGAACTGAAGTCGAGAACCTGTAATATCAAAATCAGATATTCAAAGTATAAATATCGAAAAGTACTGGTGCGAGAAGCTAGTATCGAAAACTAAGTTCGAGAACTCAGTATCGAGATCATTCTGTCGAAATCCTGTACTTAAAAATTTTCAAAATTTTGAAAACGAAGATTGCTGCTGAATTGTTTTCGATGTCGAGAAGCTTCCTGGATGAATCAATCTTCGAAAAACCTGCTGAAGTACCGAGAACCTGTTTTTCGATATGCCTATATCGAAAACTTCAAATCTCAAACTTTACAGATATCGAAAATGAAGATATACTGCTGGTTCGTTTTTGAAAGACGAATCCAACAGTATAACTTTTACACAGAGTTGTCCAAAAACAGATTTACAAAGACAGATTCAATAAAATATCGAAAACATAAAACAGAGCATTCTTTGCAGTTTTTCTTCGATGCAGATCAGTACTCGATCGGCTCTGATACCAATTGTTGGTCCCAAAATAAGGATGTATTGAACAGCAAAATACGATCTATGACAATATAGGTAAGGTCTAGATAATGATATGATCAATCTAAGAGCAATAGAGCCTTACGCTATACTATCGAGAAGTATGAAAACCTTTTAGAGAATAAAATAGTACTGTATTGCTGATTATATTCTTGGTCCTGTACCACAAGTACGCGTATATATAGGCGCAGGTACAGGTACCGAGAATGGTAACCTAGAACTCTGGGCCTAGGCCTTTTTGGGCCTTAAACCCTTAGTTGGATTTATTACATCATAAATACATTAAAACGTTAATCTATTCTAGATAAATAAACAAGACATCAGACAAGCTTGATCACAATTAATATTTTTCCTCAACAGAGCATATGTGTAATATATAGATATTATTTTCTTAATAGTTGTTTTCAATTCCTTTCATTTTTAACTTGTTAGAATTTGTGTTATTAATAAAAGATGCATGTTTTTTATATATGAATTATCAAATTTAGTCAATTTAATCACTTTATTTAGAATTTCATTTAATAAATTAAATCGATTGAATGATTTAACAGGGTTTTGACCTCAATATTACCAGAAATTAGATAAATGACAAAAATTGACATTTTTTAAAAAAATTACAGAAATGTGATCAATAAGCCCTAAGCTTACTAATTTAACCCTAATTTGAAGTGATTTTTTCTTATAGTTACCAAACTTACAAGATTCGTTACAGTGACATCCTATACAATGACACCCAACACAATGACAATCGTTGCAATGACCACCAACCACCACCGCCGGCCATCACTGTCGACTACCGCGCCGGATACAGTGACATATCCGCAATTACACATCCACAATGACACCTTTAACGTTACTCCGACAATATATCACCGCAAGCCACCTCCCCCACTGTCAGCCACCACCGCGGTTGATGCCACTGAGCACCATCGTCGGCCAGAACTGCCACCCTGTCATTTGACTCCACCGGTAACCCAAGCACCCCCCCACTCCGCCATCCCATCACAGTCGTCCACACCGCCCTTGTCTCATCACCACCCCACAAATCCGGCGACTCCACAACTGCCCTTGACCTGGTCGGCTGCCCTTAGCCTTAACACCTGCTCTCCCAGCCCCACCTCCGCCCCATGTCCTGTCCCAGCCTCACTTTGAGGTCATTTCGCCCAAAACCCTACTCATACTACAACCGCACCAAATCCATCAAGGGCGGCTGATCTAGCACCGATGACGCTCCGTCGCAGAAGACAGAACCAACAGAGGCACGGTCACTGAGGACGACGCCTAAATATGCACCGCGAGTCGATTTCAATCGCATCGATGATATGGAGAAGATGAACGATGTAGTTGAAAATAAGGCAAGCAACGACGGAGAAATAAGCGAAGAAGAAGAGTTGTCGTGGTGCGGGGGCGGCAGGAGACCGGCGTTGTGGTAGCGGTGGTGGCGGAGAAGAACTTTGAGTCTGGTGCGTGGAGAATCGTCTAGCAAATGATGGTTATGAGGATCCGTCTGAGGAAAGGATTTAGGGTTAGGACATGCATTTTAAGGACATTTTAGTACAATTACTCATTAAATGGTCATTTTATTTTATCTTAATGAAAATCAGTCATATTTTTGTCCACTAATAAAACTTTAGAAGTAATACCAGGGTAATTATTTCCAATTTAAATGGGTTAATTCTTAAATGGAGTGAGGAGTAGTTGCCACTAATAAAGTCTAGATTTAACTTATTATGAAAAATCCCGCATAAAGCATCCCAATCCTTTAGAGTTTTCTTTCCCAGCTTTTGGCTTAAAAAGTGTAAAAGTGTTTTCAATTGACAACTTCTACTTAGAGAGTGTTTGCAAAAGAAAAAAAAATGTTTTCCAACTTTTGACTTAAAAAAAAAACTGAAATTGGTGTTTTTAAGTGACAGTTTCTACTTAAATTAATTAATCACCTAAGAACTAAAAGTTGGAAGCAAGTTGAGGGATGTTTTAAATTGCTTTTCACTTTTTCTATTACACATAAACACTTATTTTATCAAACACTACCAACTTTTATTTTTTCACATTTTTTCCCAAATATTATGAACTTTTACTACTCCCTCCGTTCTTTAATAAAAGTCCTTCTTTCCTTTTTGGGACGTTTTTTTATCCACGTCCTCCTTTCCATTTAAGGAAAGTTTTTACTCTAAATATACCTTTATACCCCCACTTTTATTACCATTACCCCTTTCTCTTTCCTATTTTTTCATTTACCCACTACTCATTACACCTTTTACACTACCCCTACTATTTTCCTCTTAAAACCCGTGCCAAAGCCTAAGAGGACTTATATTAAAGAACGGAGGGAGTATTAGACACTTCTTCCAAAACCACTTTAAAAAAATTATTTTTTTAAAGTAGAAGCATCACAAGCACTCACTTAAATTAATACTTAAACTAAAAGCTAGAATCTCCCTTTTACATTTCCTATCACACAAAAAGCACTTATTTTAGCATACATCACCAACTTTATTTTCTCAAAATTATTTTTTTCTCAAACACTACCCAATTTGACTATTAAACATTTTTTTAAAATAAAGTTTTTTTTTTTTGCAATTTTTTTAAAATAAAGTTCAAAAGCACTTTTTAAAGTAGGGTTTTTTACGAGAATATTACTAAAATAAAACTTATTTACATAAATATGACTATTCATTACTACAACGTAGTGCTGTGGTAACTAAAGTTCAAAACTTGAACATAAATTACTATGATTTCATTACTACTTTAGTAATGAATCATATTTTTGTAAACTATCTTTATTTTGGTCATATTTATGTAATTATTTCTTTAAAGTAGCAAACATAGCCTAGAAACTCATCCACCATTTTGCCTCATGGTAGCAAACAAACTGGTGCATAGTGCCTTCCTAGTTCAGCACCATAGCTCGGAATCTCCAATTTGCAATCCAATGTTGAATCTCAGCCATGCACAGTTAGTTACTTCCATTCGTTCTCCTTCTATTGATAGACTAAAACTCAAATTCGTATCGTCTGGGAACTTCAATGCTCCAATCAAGGCTGCTCTCTCTTCTTTTTCATCAGGAGGGAACTATAACAAAAACACAGACCAAATGATCCCCCCCTACAACGTTTTGATCACAGGCGGTTCTAAAGGTTTGTTTCCTTTCCCCTTATGGCCTGTTTGTCTCATTCCTCATGCGATTTTTTCTAATATGCCCACACATCCATCGCACATACACATCTCTGATTCTTGGTTTTCTTTCAAAGACTGTTTTTGATATTTTTTGGTTTTGATTCTTGGTTTGGTAGTATGAGCAATTATGCCGATAGAAGAGAGTTCATCTCTATGGGGTTAGCGAACTGTTCCGTCCGTTGGGGGCTATTCAGTTATATGTCTCATCCCATTGTAGTCTTAGACTATCTGATTTCTTTTGTTCTTGTATTTCTATCACTAATAAATAAGTTTATCTCCTCCAAAAATTATTGTATTTAATAGTTCAGCAATTTCAGCCTACAATGTCAGCAATTTAGGCAACTTCAGATTTACCAGTTAGGCTCATAAGTACTTTTTAAGTTTATTATTGATTTAATGTGAATGGCTGTTGCCAAACAAGTTTGAATCAAAGCACATGTTTGCACCACTATTGTCGTCTCTTTCATTTGGGCAAAATATTCTCTCTTTAGCGTGGAGTGTATTTGTATCATGTATGAAAGTTGTATTAGTACAAACACTTATATGTACCTAGATAACTAGGTAAGACTTAAATCTAAAATAGTGTAACAGTGTCTATGAATCTCTATTGTTTAGAATCTCTACTTTGTTTCTCTTTCACATGCACTTCTTTTCCTATTCCTTTAATATATATGCAGTTATTTTTTATAGTTTCTTTGTCATATCAGGAATTGGATATGCACTTGCTAAAGAGTTTCTGAAGGCGGGTGATAATGTCTTTATTTGCTCTAGATCAGGCAAGAGTTCTATGAAATAATGTAATAAACCTCATTTTTTTCCCATACTTATATTTAATTTCTCTCACACAAAAATGATTTGTAGTTAGCTAAGCAGCTGCACATTTAATGTAAATCTCTCACGTACTTTTGTTATAAAAATAGATGAATGAAACAAGAAGGAATTTATAAGACTTATCTCGTTCAACTGAATGTAACACTGTGCTATGTGAGCTAATTAGCTTATGTAATATGAGTTTAAAAGCCAAAAGCAAAAGCTTCCCTAAAAAGCGCTCTCCGAACTACTCATATCCCCATTTGGGGAATTTCGAGAAGTTACATTTTTTCTTTATATATGTTTCATCTTTTATATCCAAAAGTTGTTCCTTTTCTATTTTTATTTTTATACATATATATTACCCTTTTTAGGGAAAGAAGCATTTTATTGATGACAAATGAAGTAAACATACTCATGATAGAAGAAAACAAATAAGAAGGCTCTTGGAAGTCAAATTCCATAGGAAGATAAAACCAAGTTATACTTCATTTGTAATTACAACAGTTAAACACCAAATACTTTCATACCACTTTCATACCACTAACATTGGGACATGAGGAGGTGGTGCGGTTATTAAGAAAAATGAGTTTATGTGGTTGATATTGAATTGTTAAAGTAAAAATAAAGTAAGAATGATTTAGAGCCACACAAATTTTACCAAATTTAGTACGAGACAATCTTAGTGGGACGGACGGAAAAGGAAAGATGAGACAATCTTAGCGGGACGGAGGAAGTAAGTCAGATCACTACTTTTTCAAATCAAATACGGAGTTTAACATCTATTTAAACTCTTCCATTTTCCTCCCCTCCCCCGCTCCCATTTTCCTCCCTTTTTTGAGTTAGATAATGGCTTAAATCCTCATTAAATTCTAGAGAGAAGATACAAAAAAAATCCAAGATATTGTTGACTTGCTTTAATGAGATGATGAGAACATGGTGCTAGACAGAAAAAAATGGAGAATGAAGGTATTAGTGAATGACCTCTTTGAAGTTATCAATTGGTTCATATAGACAACACTCATTGATTTAGGATTAAGGCAATGTTGTTGTGTACTGTTACTTGCTTTATATAGTCTAATGACATGTGCCACAAATCATTTTTTTTAAAGCAGCTGAAAGAGTGGACTGCGCTCTTGAAAAGTTAAGGGAAGAAACGGGGAAGCAACATGTGTGGGTATCTTCATCATGACCATTCGTTATTTGTTGATATTTAACTGATTATTTTTTGAGCATCTTACCATGGGAAACTTTAAGTAACCCCAACATTTTACCTTTGGCTTGTTACATGTACTGTACATTACATCCGATTACTAAACTTTGACAATTACTACTACCTCCGTCCTATACAAAGTTTCCCGTCCACTATTCTCCGGTCAACATAAAGTCTTCTTAATCTTTTACTTTATATATCCAACTTTTATCAAATTTGAGTTTTTTGTGCGACTTTATGAACTTGTAATGTAGTTTCTGAATATGTAAATTTTATTTACTAAAAATAATTTTAACACGGACAGGGATCAGTTAACTTTGGTCAGTCAAACACCGTAAACTGTGTGGGAACTTTTGTACGGGATAGAGGGAGTATTTCTGTAGTCAACACGATTCATTTTTGTTTTCTAATTTTGATTATATTTTTTTATCATAATTAAAATTGATATTTCATGGGTCATCCAGAAACAATCTCTTTGTGCTTTAGTACAAGGGTAAGGCTGTGTCCATCCAATCCCCCTTACCCCATTGTAAGTGGGAGCCTTTGCGGCACTGGGGTAATGTTTACCCCATTGTAAACATTAGTGTAGTTTTTAAATACTCCCTCCGTCCCGAAAACAACTTCCCACTTTCCTTAAATGGATGTCCCAAAATTAACTTCACACTTCAATACTTTCCTTATTTGGCAAATTATCTACATAAAAAAAGTGATAAACAGTGTCAAACAGTGTTTAAACAGTGCCAAACAGTGTTTAAACAGTGCCAAACAGTGCTTAAACAGTGCAAAACAGTGCATTCTACAGTAAAGTCAAATTTATTTCCTAAAAGTGTGTGAAAGTCCAACCGGGAAGTTGTTTTCGGGACGGAGGGAGTATGTAACTTTTAAATACCAATATTGATCTAAATATTGTCAGGGAGTAATTATTACGAATATTGCCAGAAAAACATAAAACTAGGAAGAACTAAGAAATGGGATTGTTGGATAGTCACACTTATTTGTGGTTGATTTGGTCAATTTGTTTACCTCTTCAAGACCCAGTTTGGTCTGAAGGGATGTGTTATATGTCTCACATTGAATATTTACTGGAATTTAGTCTATTTTTAAGTGTGATATAAACTCATAATCCTGACCTTTTATAAGTGTAATATAACTCATACTCCTGACCTCTTGAGAATCCTTTCGGGGGATTAGGCCCAACTCAATTAATCTGAAGAGGATTCTTGTGACTCATTCAATGTATATTTTATATTGGCAGGGTACTAAGTGCGACATTCGGGATAGCAACAATGTAAGACGCTTAGTTGCATTTGCAAAGCAAGAGCTCAAATACATAGATATATGGGTACTTGATCTGGACTTTTATTTGTTATATAGACACTTCTTTGCTTAAGTTCCAAATTTACTGTTGGCGCTTACCTGGTGATATATCCTTGCTGTCTAGCAGTGATCAATTTTGTGATTATCTATGCAGAATAAGATGAGTATTATTTACCCATAATTAATACTTCTAATATTCATAAAATAAATGATGTGCCTTGCAGTTCATCCATTGAAGTCAATATATCAATGATTTGAAATTCTAAAACTAATCCAATTGCATGTGTGTTCATATACATGTCATTGAAAGTATGGGTCTTTGAAGTTATAGTTCTGCACAAATTCCTATTACTGTTTTAAAATCCGCTAGATGCTAGGTAAGCGATAATAAGAAATTTCTTCTGACCTTAAATTTGTTTAATCTTGTGACACTTTCATAAAATGCATGACATCCGTTAATGCACTTAATTCAGTTAATTGAATGCCCAAAATATTGATTTTCAGCACAAAATAAAACATTACTTGTACGCATTGCTGACAATATTGGCCTGCATATTCAACTCATGGGAAGCGGAAGCATATATTGGCCTGGGATAATAGCTTGACAAATTTCAAAATTATGGTCAACCTTTAGCTTGGTTTTATGTGCGAGAGAAATTTATTTCAAACCACTGATACGACACAACACTCCAGAGAAATTTAGGGACGTATATTAATCAACGTTCAGTCCAAAGGAAGAAGAAAAAAAAACAGATAACAATGGAAAATAGCAATAACTTGCAGCCAAAGAAAAAAAACAAGCTGGAGACCATTCGAGAGGGCCCCTCTCTCCAACAACTAGACAATTCCCAGATATCCCTCTCTCCACTACCCGACTCCCTTTTATTCTCTTTTCCATCTCATCCTGACCTCACTTCATTAATTAGTAAATTACCCCCTTACCCCTTCTATAGTAAACTTTAGAAAAGTCTCTGTTAGGATTTATTTTAAATTGGGTTGTGTTCTCATCATCACCGCCCCCCTTTAAATATCACCTTGTTCTCAAGGTGAACATTGGGAAACAAAGACTGGAACTGGGAGACTTCCTCCCAGGAATCTTCAAAATCGGGTAGATCTTTCCAGTGGACTAATACTTCCTTGTTCCCTGTTGCACTAATCCGGGCATCCAATATCTTCTCAGGCTGTGTTTGGAGCTCCCATTCCTCAGACAAGCATTTGGGTAAAGGTTGAGTAGGTATGTTAGGAGCCACCGTCTTCTTTAACAAGGACACATGGAAAACGGGATGTACCGAGCAGTCCTCTGGAAGTTTCAGCTTGTAAGCCACAGAATTTATTTTAGCAATCACTTCAAACGGCCATAAAATCTCGGACTTAACTTCTGATTCACTCTTTTTGCTAAATTTTTCAATTTATAAGGCTGTTTTTTTAAAAACACCCTGTCACCCACCTCTAGCTGAACATCCCTCCTATGCTTATTGGCCTGCTGCTTCATCCTGTTTTGTGCCTTGGCTAAGTTCTGTTTGAGCTCTGTAATCATCTCATTTCTTTCTGCCGTGAGCTTAGTCACCTCTTCAACCGCAGTTCCCGAAGCATCTCCCATAATTATAGTGGGGGGTTCTTGGCCATAAAGTGCTTTGAAAGGTGACGTTTGCAAAGAAGCATGGTAATTTGTGTTGTACCAAAACTCAGCCCAAGGTAGCCACTTGGGCCAGAGTTTAGGTCGGCTTCCAGTTAAGCATCTTAGGTATGTTTCCACGCAACGGTTAACGACCTCAATCTGCCCATCAGTTTGGGGATGATAGGCAGTACTATACCTTAACTTAGTCCCCGCCAGCTTGAAAAGTTCAGACCAAAATGAGCTTAAGAAAACACTGTCACGATCAGATACAATTGTCTTTGGAAATCCATGTAGCTCCACCACCTCCTGTATAAACACTTCAGCCACACTTTTTGCAGTATAAGGGTGAGCTAATGCCAAAAAATGAGCATACTTAGTCAGCCGGTCAACTACCACTAGAATGGTATCCTTTCCCAAGGCCTTAGGCAGTCCTCCAATGAAATCTAGGCTAATATCAGCCCATATGTGATCGGGAATAGGCAGTTGTTGAAGGAGCCCAGCGGGACTTAATGCCTCATACTTGTTTCTCTGACAAATCTCACACCCTTGTACATACTGCTGTATGTCCTGTCTCATTCCCTCCCAGTACAGGACACTGCATATTCTTTTCAAGGTTCGGAGATAACCTGAATGTCCACCACAAGCTGAATCATGGAACTCCCTCAAAATATTAGAAATTCCGGTGGATCCCTTTGGCAGCATGAGCCTATCCTTGTAGTAAAGCAAACCCTTCTTCAATTTAAATCCAGGATGTGACTCAGGTTGAGCCAACAAGCTCTGAATAATCTGTTTACATCTGGTGTCCTGCAGTAACTCCTCCTCTAACCCCTCCCATTCATGGAAACTAATCACTGAAAGGGCCTGATAACTACCCTTCCTGGACAATGCATCGGCTGCTTTATTCTCCAACCCTGGTTTGTATTTAACCACAAAATTGTACCCAAGGAGTTTGGTGATCCATTTTTGTTGTTCCTCCCCCAAAAGTCTTTGCTCAGTCAAAAATCTCAAACTTTTCTGGTCAGTATGAACTTCAAAACACCTGCCCATCAAATAGGGCCTCCATTTCTGTATAGCTACTACCATAGCCATCAATTCCCTTTCATAAACAGATTTATTTTGGTTTCTTATTGATAGTACTTTGCTCATATAAGCAACAGGCCTGCCATCTTGCATTAGAACAGCTCCAATACCTTGTCCTGAGGCATCTGTCTCTACCACAAATGTTTTGTTGAAATCTGGAGTAGCTAGCACCGGAATGGAAGTCATGGCCAACTTTAATTTCTCAAATGCCTCTTTAGCTTCCTCACCCCATTTAAACCCATCCTTCTTTAACAAGTCAGTCAAAGGTTTGGCTATTTTACCATACCCTTGTACAAATCTTCTATAATAGCCAGTCAGCCCAAGGAATCCTCTTAGACTCTTTATATCAGTAGGAAATGGCCAAGTTTGCATATCTTGTATTTTACTAGGATCTGCTGAAACTCCTCTGCCAGAGATTATGTGTCCCAGGTAAACCAATTGTTGTTGGCCAAAACTGCATTTCTTCCGATTGACTACCAAGTGGTTAACTTGTAGTAGCTGTAATATGGTCTTAAGGTGCTCCTTGTGATCCCCAAAGTTCTTACTATATATCAAAATATCATTGAAAAATACCAATACGAATTTTCTCAAATACGGTTTAAGAACCTGATTCATTAAAGCCTGAAAAGTTGAAGGGGCATTTGTCAATCCAAACGGCATGACCACAAACTCGTAGTGCCCCTCATGCGTTCTTATGGCTGTTTTCAGAATATCCGATTCCTTCATGCGGATTTGATGATACCCAGACTTTAAATCCAACTTAGAAAAAATCCTGGCCCCACCCAGTTCATCTAACAGTTCTTCAATGACCGGTATAGGAAACTTATCTGGAATTGTCACCTTATTTAGTGCTCTGTAGTCACCACAGATTCTCCGCCCTCCTTTCTTCTTCACCATTATTACCGGGCTACTGTAAGGACTCATACTGGGTCTTAGGATCCCATACAATAACATTTCCTGAATCAACCCTTCCATTTCATTTTTCTGGTAATAAGGGTACCTGTAGGGCCTGGAATTAGGAATGGTTGCACCCTCTTTAATGTTGATAGCATGATCACACTCCCTATGAGGAGGTAATTCTGTCGGAGCTTTAAAAACTTGTGGGAATTCTCTGAGGATTTCTTCCCAAACTTCACCAACTTCTGATGTTCCTTCGGTACCTTCTTTTTCTGAGCAGTAGATGTAATACCCCTCATCCTGGGTTAGTAAGGATTTCATAATAGATTTCCAGGAAGCTTTGATTTGGTTGAGTTTAGAACTTCCGTTTAATGCCATATCCTCCCTTTTTCTTTCCATTGTATAGACAAATCTCGGAAGTTTACCTTGACTTCCCCAAGGCTGCCTAACCATTCCATTCCTAACACCAAATCTGTTCCACCAATTTCTAATAGATAAAAGTCTTGTGTGATGTTCACCCCTTGCACCCATATTTGTAATTGCTCACACTTGCCTCTATTGTTGATATGATCTCCATTCCCCAGCTCAACTTGAAACCCGGGTTTAGGGTTATATGACAGGTCCATCTCCTTCACCAATTTTTGTGAAATAAAATTATTGGTTGCCCCCGAATCGATCAATATAAGCACAGCTCTCTTCTGGTCCTTACCTTGAATCTGCCCTCTGACTTTGAATGTGTTTGGAGTATTAATGCCCTCCTTTCTGAGTACAGATAATTGCAGGTCTTTTAATTCCCCATTCTCTTCAACACTATCAACATTCGGCAGGTTTTCGGACTCCTCTTCTGATTCTTCCACATTTTCCACTAATATCAGTTGATAATTTTTTAGTTTACAGACATGTTCCTTGTTCCACTTGCTCCGCATTTGAAACAAAGTCCTCTTCTCGTTCTATCTTCCAGTTCAGTCTGAGTCAATCTAGGATTTCCTCTCCATTCCTTCTTCACCCCTGTGGTGTCTTCTGTTTTTCCCTCAGAAGGTTGCTTCTCTGGATATACCTTTTTATAAGGAACAAACCTGCCTGGAGAAACTTCACTCCTAATCTGAATTTTGGAAGTATGAGTTCCTTTTTCTTTCCATCCCCGTTGGTCTATCTCCCTGATCCTACTCTGCTCTACCAGTATGGCCATGTCCATCAATTCCGGGAGTCCTCTTGATTTATGAAGTTTCAGTTCAGCTCTTATCTCCTCTTTCAACCCATTCATAAAAACTCCCTTAAGCATTGACTGGTCAGTATTTTTCGAAGGAGCCACGACCATTTCAAACTCAGCTCTAAACTCCATTACTGTACCTCCTTGTTTTATACTGAGCATCGGACCAAATGGGTTCTGCACAAGCTCAGGTTGAAATCGACGAAGAACAGCTTCCTTA